CCGTAACCCATAGCACCGCGACCCAGGAACCATCCACAGCACCGAAGAGGCCTGCAATTGAAAACCTAACATACCTGCCGGAGAAGGCGAATTGGATTTGGCAACCACCAAAACCTCTTGCACTCGTGGAGAGCAGAGTCGCAGCATCTGGGAAGAGCCGGGCGACGTGGGAACGACTACCGGTAAGACAAGAAGTCAAGAGGAAGGCGACGATTAAAGATTGTAGCGGGAGAGAGAAGGGAAAACTTTTTCGTCCAGAGAGAAGGGAAAACTTTTTCGGCCAAGTGACAAAGGTTTAAACTTTAAGGTATACAACATCTTTTTTCTTGAAAATTGATATAATAAAAGTGGGACAAATGTTTATAAAAATTTGAGATAAATTGTAAATTATGAATTGATATGAAATAAAAATATTGTAATTAAATTTAACGTGATATAAAAATAATAAATATTTAATATGATAGTTAGAAATATAAGAAATTTATATTTGTGAATAAACTGTCAAAAAATGTATAATAAAAATTATTTTATTTTATAATTATTTTAGAAATACTTGTAGAAAAAATATAATATAAATTAATAACTATTTTATAATTTAATTGTTTCTTTTTTAAATAAAATATTTTTTTATTAAAAAGTCAAATTGTGTCAACGTAACATTTGAGATTGAGTTGATTAAAAAGAAAAAACTTTCAATTAGATTGCTCTGTGTGCAATGTTTTAAACTAATTGTTAAATAAAAGGCACATTTAGAAAAGCTTCGACAAATTATTATTATTATTATTATTATTATTATTATTATTATTATTATTATTATTATTATTATTATTATTATTATTATTATTATTATTATTATTATTATTCACACAATATTGAATAAGAAGTTTAAATTGATTATAGGCCCTTAAATTAAACCTGTCAAAATTTGTATTTTGGTTATAGCGGTTCCAATTTTTTCTTTACATACAATATTAATAGTATAATATTTCATTCTCATCAGAATGGTCTCGCATATATAGTCAAATTTAATTAGCATATTTATGTTGGGATATTTATAATAATTTTGACCCCCCCTCTCAAGAAAATACAATGCTAGTCAAAATCTCGAATAACACATATCTTTATGACTCGCTGCTTTCATTTATTTCTATTCAATGAAAGGTCACTGCTAAAAAAACCTACCCAAAGGACTTTCAATTCAATGGCAAACACAATTCTCCCACCAATTAGCTAATTAGCTTACGTTAGTGAGTTGATGTGCAACATAATTGTGACCATAAGCATAGTTTTTAAACTCGGCCGGTAATCGACCCGGACAGGTCTTTGGGTCACCGGTTCAACCGCCGGGTCACCGGGTCAATTGTTGAACCGAATAATTAATTTTAAAATTTATAAAATTATATATAGAGTATTTTGTGATATATAAATATACATAAAAATAACAAATTTAAATATTTTATATGTAAAATTTGTAGATTAAAGTGGTAATAATATGTATATACTTATCATATAAATATATATACATAATTTTATTTTTTAAAAAGAAAAATAAAATTAAAAAACAAAAAAAAAAATACATATAGACCGGGTCAACCGGGTTGACCCAGTCGGGTCAATGCCCCGGGTCGACCGGGTCAAGGCCGGGTCGACCGGGTTTTGGCCGGGTTTGGCCGGGTTGCCCGGTCCAATTAACCCACCCGGACCGGTTTCGGCTCTGGGTCGACCGGGTCCCGAGTCGACCCACCGGGCCAGTCTGGGTCAC